GGAGTGGCTGCTGCGCTGCGGGGCCCTGGTGAGGTACCAGGGCTCGCCCAAGTGGCAGCAGGACTACAATGGGCTCCCCACAGGGCCCCTGGGCAAGTACAAGATCGAAGCCATCAACGCCACCGACTCCTGCATCATGTACAGAGGATTTGACTACCTGGGTAATGTACACACGGGGCTTCTTCCTAATGGCTTTCATTTTCCTTGCCTTGAAATCTTATATCTACTCGTTAGCTTTCGTTATTATTAACTTTTTAATTATTTCATTGACTTCTGCAAATTATTATTAATCACAACGATTTTGATATAATTTGTAATATCTGTATTGTAATAGCTGTAATCACTTTTAACTGTTTTTGATGCAGTATAATTTGTCAGCTTTTGTAGCCAATGCCGTAGCCATGTGTAACATATATATAAATAACTTACATAACTCATATATATATTAATATATTAATATATAATATATGTTATATATATGTTATATATTTATATATATATCAGTTACATGTGTAATAAACATATATTATAGTTTAAGCTTCCACAAAATATTAAAATAGAAACTATGTGTTGTGCATTGTAACATTCATTTTTGCAGAAATAGCTAATATTTTTATTTTTATAACTAACAGTGGTAAGAATAACTCAAGTTTGTGAAAATAGCTAACTATATAAGTATATATATATCTATTATATAACTATCTATATAATTAAATAACGTTAAAGAAAACAGACAAATAACAGAGAAAAAAAGATATGAAGAGGACTTCTGCCACTGACCTTTCAACTATCAATAACTCCCCATTTGTCATAAAACAATAGTATACACATTATAAAGAAATAGCATATCTATTATAAGAAAATAACACACAAAACTTCCAAAAATCAAATCTACACCGTTACACAAGTCAAGAGTCAAACCAAGCTAAAGAATTCCCAGAACATGTAAAAGAACTCAAAGGAATATTTAAGTATATATAATCTTCATAAATATGTATTTGATCAATGTAATAAAAATATATATTAAAAGAGTTACAATAAACCAGTGTACAGCTAGCTAGGGCTGTGCACCCAGCGCTGTGGGGTCCCTTTTTATCCCTAATTAAACTTCTAAAATTCTAGAAAGTAAAGCTCATTTCTCACAAAAATATCAATAATGGTGCCATTTGTTCCTTCCTTAGCAAGATACTGGTAAGTAATTTGTGGTTTTTCTGCCCCTTTATAAATATTTATCAGTCCCTAAGGTTTTGCTGGAGGTGTGATTAAAGTGAAAAGACATTGGGAACTTCAGCTTTTACCTGAAGTGGCCGTAGCACTAAGGAAGTGCCACAAATTTCAATAAATTCATGGCAAAAAGCACTATAAATATTATTTTTCTTCTGCACAAGGAGTGATTTTGGTGTCTCTGAAGTCATAATTCTGCTCATTCTCCAGGCATTTATGGTGTCTTCAAAGACAAGAAGCAGGCTCTCTTCAAAATAAGAGATTAAACAAGTGTTTCAGGTGGTCTTTAAATGACAGAAAGCAAAATGGGAACAGGCTGTTTTATTTTTTTCATAGCAAGGGACCCTGAATTTCTGGCATTAGCACTTTCTTAGTCAGAGTTATTGTTTATTACCCAAAACTGTGTAGGTTTTTTGTTACTTGCCCGTTTCAAAGCTCTTGAAATCTTACTGAAACGATTCAAACCCCAAGGTTTTCCTAAATCTGAAGTTCCACAAAGGGACTTTGGATATTGATTGTGTGTTATGGCCCCACTGTATAAAGGAATGTGTTGCTGCGTGGTTTTAGGGGCAGTTATTGAACTGAGAATTTTCCAACCAGCACAGGCTGGTCCTGGAATTCTGGAGCAAATCCTCACTTTTGCCTTTGCAGATGGCCTGGAGCACGTTACAGATATCAAACTGGAGAAGTGCATGTACATCCAGGACGAGTGTCTGCAGAGGCTCAGCGAGACCAGCAACCTCCAGAAGAGTCTGCAGCAGCTGAAGATCATTTCCTGTGGGAATGTCACAGACAAAGGCATCATTGCACTCCACAAGCTGACGTATGTGAGCCACTGAGTGCTTCCACAGCCCCCTGCTCCGGGCTCCTGGGGATTGTGCTGGGTGCAAGGGCTGGGGTCGCTGTTTCGAGCCTGTAGGGTTGGGTTGGGCTCAGGGATCAGTAATTAATGATCAGCTTGGCTTCTGTTCCTGAGCCCTCTCCTGCAGCAGCTCTGCAGGGCAAGGTTTGACTGTGTCCTGTAGCTTTTAGTGCTTCTCCACCTCACAGCTTCCTGCCACGCCACCCTCTCGTGCCTCAGGGTCTGGGACAGACCTGGCTGCTCGAGAATGGGATGCAGCTGGATACTGCAGCTAAAAACCCCAAGCACCCACTTCAGAAAGAAACTTCCAGTAGAACCAGTCACCATTCAAAATACTCAAAGCAACTGCAGTAGGATAATTTCTCCAACTTCTCTGTCAGCAAGTCAATAGTAGTTGGCCATTTTCTTTTTAAATATTTACAGGAACCTGGAATATTTGTATCTGAGTGACCTTCCTGGGATCAGAGAGAAAGAAGTGACCTTCCGTGTCCTTCAGCAGGCACTGCCCAACCTGGAGCTGGAGCTGGATTTGGAATAAACACAGCAGCATGTAACTGAGATGTATGTGATTTCCTAGGATTTATCTTACGTTGCATAAATGAAGTTGTAGACACCGCTGTATTTCCTGTAAGCCCAGCTCTCCCACTACACTCAAAGGTGTATGTGACCTGTTAAGAAATCATGCAATTAAGTTTTATTAAGCTTAAACTCGGTGGTGGATCAGTAACAGACAAAGCAGCCTCTGCACGTGGCTGTTTCCTGTTTCTCTAGGAAGCTCTGAATACGTCAGTCAGAAGTTTTCAGTATTTTATTGCACAGAAGCCAAGTGGCAGTGGGGGGAATGTCGGGGTGTGTGTGGTTTCTGTGTGGTGTTGGTGCTGTTCCCCCTGGAAGAATCTCACCCAGTTGGTGGGTGCTGATTTAATAAAAAATGTTCTGGGTGTTTTTTGGGCTCTTCACACTTTGAGTTTTGTCTGGTTTAATGATCACCCCTCAGGAGCACTGAGCTGCTGAAGGGTCTGTGGCTGTTTGTGGAGGAGCAGCAGCTCATGGACAAAGCCTCAAGTGTGTTTTTGCTGTGTGCTGCCATGGACTGCAGCAGTTCTGTGCAGCTCTGGAGTTGCATCCTCATCCCTCCTGATAAATAAAAGTCATTGAGAATTGTTGAGGTTGGAAAAGTCCTCTGAGATCGTGGGAGTCCCCAGCTGTTCCCCAGCACTGCCAAGGCCACCTCTGAGCCGTGTCCCCCAGTGCCACATCCACACGGCTTTTAAATCCCTCCAGGAATGGTGAGTCCAGCCCTGTCCTGGGCAGCTGTGCCAGGGCTGGACAAACCTTTCAGGAAGGAACTTTCCCTAATATCCAGTCTAAACCTCCCCTGGCCCAGCCTGAGGCCGTTCCCTCCTCCTGTCCCTGTTCCCTGCGAGCAGAGCCCGACCCCCCCGGCTGTCCCCTCCTGCCAGGGACTTGTGCAGAGCCACAAGGGCCCCCTGAGCCTCCTTTGCTCCAGGCTGAGCCTCTTCCCAGCTCCCTCAAGAATTCTCCAGCCCCTTCCCAGCTCCCTCAGCAATTCTCCAGCCCCTTTCCAGCTCCCTCAGCAATTCTCCAGCCCCTTCCCAGCTCCCTCAGCAATTCTCCAGCCCCTTCCCAGCTCCCTCAGCAATTCTCCAGCCCCTTCCCAGCTCCCTCAGCAATTCTCCAGCCCCTTCCCAGCTCCCTCAATCCCTCCTGGGGCTCCAGACCCTTCCCAGCTCCATTCCCTTCTCTGGACACGCTCCTGCCCCTCAGTGCCTTTCTTGTGAGTCAAAACTGCCCCCAGGATTGGAGGTGGGGCCTCAGCAGTGCCCTCACAGAGGGAACAGCTCATCCTGGGGGAGAACATGGCATTTTCAGTCAAATCCCTGGTTTTGGGGGTGGGGGAGGGCAGAAGGCAGCGACTCCAAGCAGTCAGATATGCAGTGCTGTCTCAGAGATGGTTTTCCATGTGTAAGGAAACATAAGGCCAACAGGCACACACAGGGGATGGCATCTGTCTCACTTAAAGGGCTTTTACTGTTGTGGAACACAAAATGTACTGGCAGAACATTTCTGCTGTAAGTGTCAGTAAAAAGAGGATGTTCTTGCCCAATAGTAAAGCTTTATATAGTAAAATACTTCCAGTATGTTGGAAAAAGAAGCTACATTTCTTTTATTCAAAATCAACACAATATTACATTCTGAGATTCCACAAACCCCAGTCGTTCTAATACAAACACTTGGGCAGAATTCCTGCCTGTGTCTGGCCAATGTTATAAATTACATTCATGATTAGTTTTGATAAAATCATTTTTGCAACTACAAGCAAGTGCCCTCACTCTTGTCAGAAGCAGAATTCAAGGACTAAACTTGCAGGAGCAGCTCTGGAAAGACTAAAGAAACAACAGGGATGTTGTTGCTCTGTTCTCCTGGGCGTGGTGCCTGCGGAGCCTGAGCAGTCACCAGCTCTGAGCTCACCAGCACATCTTCACCCCTTCAGCAGCACAAGCAGGGACTTGGCCACACAGCTCCTCCCAGCAGGGGCTTGGGGCCAGGCTAAAGCAGGAGGGACTCGTGTATTTGGCAAGGCGGAGTTCTCCTGTCCAGTCTGAAATGCAGGGGACAGGTAGGCCAGAGTTTGAAATTTCATACTGTAAGCACTGGGTTGGGGTAATCCTGAACCAGGAGGCAGTCAGGAATTAAAAATGTATTTGCCTTTGTACACAGAACAGAGATGAGATTGGAGTTCTTTCTGCACTGCTTCCTCTCCATCAGTAACCCAGAGTAGAGACCACTCTGTACATGCCATAACTTTTAGTAATTTAGTTTTCCACTGCTTATCCTCCATTTATAAATCCTGGATGATTTTGAACAACCTGAGTTTTGATCTGCCCCCTGGTCAGATGTTTGGGAAGTGGTACTTTGATTTCCTTGTCTTGCAGCAGTTCTTCTTGCTGTCCAAAGCTGGGAGAACTTTGCTGCAGGTCAGCTGAGGCAGGTGCTGTACCTGAAGGAAAGGTTACACCATGACTGTTAGTTTGGAAAGGGAATAAAACACATGTGGAATCAAATTTTCACATGGAATACGAGTTATAAAACTATTCCTACTGTAATCCTCCACTTTCCAAGCTAAGATTATAAGGTTTTACAACTGGACTGCAACTAGAACAAGTCATTAAAGAATTCCATTAGGAAAGAAAAATATCCCAGGTCATAGAAATGGTAAATAAATCATCTTACTTCCATAGAAATGGAAGAGGCCAATCAGTCTGATGCAGGAATTGACACTCTGTAGCAGTTCTCCATCCCTCACCTCCAACTTCCCTGCCTGGTCCCAGCTCAGCATTAGAGCTGCCATGGGGAATTGGCTCACAGGAATAAAAAACTGTGCAATGAGTTGCATTGTGAGGCTGGATTTGGGGACTTGGGGAAAACCAGAGCAGCAAGGAGACGTTTGTTCAGCAGCTCCAGCTGCAGAAACACCCAGTGTGTGAAGTAACGTGTGGAACTGAGCATGGGATCGTGTCCCCTCAGCACTTACAACAGAAGTGGTCTTTATTCCATCTCCTCATTCAGGATTAAAAAGCACCAGAGTATTCAATCTTAAACCAGCCATGTGATTGTGTCCAGCTTGTTCAGCCTCCCGCTGCTCTTTGTCAGGAATGCACATTCCTGAATGAACCTTATCCTGCACGGGGCTGTGCTGTTTATCCCCAGTGCCCCATGGAGCCACAGTGCAAAATCCAGTTTGTACAGAGTTACTCTTTAGCCAGGGGGTTTGTTTTCTCCTCAGGATAAAACCAACACCTGCCAGCACAACCCACCCTGGGAGCCAACAAAAGAACAGCCCCCCCTTAGGCACGGAATATTAAATACTATGGAAAGCTTACCCCTGGCATGTGCTTCCGAGTCAGCCTGGCTGGCTTCCGAGGGCTCTTTTCATGTTCTTTGCCCAGCTCTGCTGCCTCCCTAAAGCTCTCAAAATAGGGGTGCTGCAGCAGCTGCTCACAGCTCTGCCTCTCCGCAGGGTCCATCCGAAGGCAGCCCTTAGAAAAGGTGGAGAATGACACCGAGCACTCCTTACACAGTTCTGCACAATTCCTGCTGCTCCCCATGGCCAGCGAGTGTTCCCACAGGTATGTGTGTTAATAAGTTTTTAAATGGATTCTAAGAGCAGCTTTTCACAGTCAGCATGAAGCTGGAGGAGTAGCTAATTATACAATAATTACAAAAATTAATTATGGAATGGTTTGGGTTGGAAGGGACCTTAAAGACCATCTTGTTCCAACCCCCTGCCATGGCAGGGACCATTCCACTACCCCAGGTTGCTCTGAGTTCCATCCAACCTGGCCTTGGACACTTCCAGGGATGGGGAGTCCACAACTGTAGTAGGAATTGTGGCTCAAGGAACAGGTGCAATCACATGGAGCAGCAAACCAGGTCTGTTTTTCAATGAATCTCTGATAACTCAGTCCCAGACTCTCACACCAGATGATTTGTTTATCCCACTGCAGGGCTCTTCCACAAGCTGGAGTTTCCTTACCTTCATGAGAGTCAGTGCAGAGTATGAAATACTGGGGAATTTCATTTCCAGTGGTTCCTGCAGGGAAAAAAAACAAGTGAATGGACTCATATTAGCAAACTTTTCATTCATCAGGGTACCAAGACTCAGCTTTCCACAGGAACACGACCTGTTCCTCACAAAATGCCTCCATCACTCCGTGTGTTCAGAGGCCTGGCAGCACTGAGGATGTGCCACCAGAAATGGGGGAAAGCAGCAGAGATTAATCCTTTTTTGACTGCTTTTACACAAGCTGTAAGTTAAATGTCATGAGAGGTTCAGCCACCTCCAAATAATATTCTGGTGTACACTGACAAAGTAGAGGGCAAAGTTTTTGGATAGGGAAAAAACGCTGCACAGCAAAGGACTGGGCAGAGTGGAGAAGGGAGGGAAGTGCAACTGGAGGCAGCTCTTACCATGCTCTCTGGGTCTGGAATTCTTACCCCACTGAAGAATTGGTTGGTGCTGAAGACTTGCTGGTGCCTGGGAATGAGATCCCCTTTGACCAAAAATTAAAAAGAAAAAAAAAATTGGAGTAATTGACTTAATTTTACAGTGCCTGCATTGAACATGGCTGTATCCTCTAAGGCGGCTGATGCCATCCAAGACAACACCTGAAGAGGTGGAATATCACCAAGTGAGCCCAGGCAATGTTCTTTGTGACAATTAATGTCTATTTTGGCCACCAGTGATCCCACACCTGTGTGACCGTGCTGAAGGAAAGGCAGGGCCACAAGTGTTCCAGCTTCAGGAAAATTTAACTTCTTTTGGGTGAAATTCTCTTTGGATGCTCCTGAGGGTGCAGAACAGGAAAGAGCTGGAACACAGCCCCCCATGAATTTGCTGTAGCTGCTCCCCATGGCAGCGTTTTTGAAGCTTGGAGCACCCCAGAGCGAGGAAAAAGTTAAAATCAAATCCATATCAAAATATCAAAGGAGCCAATACAATGCCAACCCCATAATGGCACAGCTTCAATCAAGGAGCTTTGCTCTGTGAACACTGCCTCACTCCAGCACCTGGATCCAACAATCAATGGGAATCTCCTCTGGCTGAAACTCTATTATTAAAAATAAATTATAACTGCCTAACATTGGCATTAATGAATTCTGGAGGGTAAAGCAATCGGTGATGAACTGTTTTTCTAGCTAAGGAGTTTATCTGTTTAAAACCATTAGTCACCTTTGTAGTTTTATAAACTGCTCAGTTAAAATTACAACTCTCTGTTCATTCCAACAAATTTCAGTTAAAAGTGGGGGGTTGTGTGTTGTCACCCAAGAAATCGGAAGTTACACACCAAAATTGAAAAGATCAATGGGACTGGATTAGTTTAAGTGTTATGTGGGATAATGTCTCTTTTATTTAACAAATTAATATGGAGTGGCTCCTAAATTCATTGATGAACAAGAAAGATGTGGAACAGACAAGCTGTGATGTTCACACTCCCCAGGATCACAGCCATCAACAGGCACCGACAACACTTTTGAGACCTCCAAGGCTGGGATGAATCGAATCCAGCTGTTCATGGACCACTTTGCTTGCTACAAACACCTGGATCTTCTAAACCTTTATGTAAAACACTCCTGGTCCTTTCTAATACAGGCACCTCATGTTTTTGTCTGTGTGGAGACAGCTGGAGTTGCTGTGCTCCCCTAGCCCAGCAATCACCCCAAGGGAGCAGGAGGGGTGTCCAGTGGTCACCAAACACATCCCACATCTCTAATCTGCCCTGCACCAGACCCAGCTTTCCAGAGGCCAGCACTGCCGAGGAGAGAGGAGGGATGGTTCCAGGCAGTCTGCAGGCAATGATCCCGATTCCCAGCCTGCTCCCCGGGGAGCACATTGACATCATGCCAGGAAAACCCAGCTCCTTCTTAAGGACAGGAACCCCTCAAATAAACCAGCACCTTCTAAAGGGAGAGATCTGCTGGGTAAATCCCCCCTGGCTGCTCCCCACTCGCTCCTGGGCAGGCTCCGGTGCTGCAGGGGACGCTCACCCAGGGTTCTGCGGATCAGGTACAGCTGGTCCACGTCCGACTTGCCGGGCCACAGGGGCACCCCCGAGAGCAGCTCGGCGAACACGCAGCCGATGGCCCACACGTCCACGGGCGGGCCGTACTGGGTGTCCCCCACCAGCAGCTCCGGGGAGCGGTACCACCTGGTGGCCACGTAGTCGGTGTAGTAGTCACTGGGACCGGCTGGGGCGGGGCCAGGGGAGAGACACAAGAAAAGGAACGTGGGATCAGAGCGATGCTCAGGAGCCAGCAGCACTTGGTACATTTTGGGGCATCTCCTGGGCAGGCCAGAGCTGCAGCAGCAGGGTGAGTCGCTGGCCACCAGCAGAACCCAACTTTGGGAATACTCAGGATCTGGTAAAAATCAAGACCGTGTTTTCCTCCAAATGAAAATGTGCAGAGCTCTACAGCAGGGCCCAGCAGCAGCTAGTGGGTAATTCTCAGAGCCCATGTGATTTGTCTGAAGAGGAGCTAAAAAAAAACAGATTAGGGGGTTTATTTACAACGGAAAATGTGAAGCCATTGTTTGCAGAGGCAGGCAGAGGGGCTCTTCCTGCCAGGGAGCTCCAGCTGTGTCTCCAGCACTGCATAAACAAGGGCTGGGCAGCTCCGAGACGCCCAAGGCCGACTTGATCCGTCCGTGCCAGCACCCCCAGCGGCTCAGCCGGCCCAGCAGGGAGCTCGGCGTGTTCACAGAAGTCACCGCGGCGTCTGGCATCCCTCCCTGTAAGGTTTAGGAATCCCTGCCCAGCCTTCAGCAGAGCTTCCCTGGAAAGACACACAGCCATCATACAGGATGATCTGCAGTGCGTCAGAGACAGGCAAGTGAGGGCTGGAATGGCTCATCCTACACCTGGAGTACATAAAGAGTCAGCACTCACTCAGGATTCGAGCAAATCCAAAATCGCAGAGTTTGATGACCGAGTGCTTTGTTATCAGGATGTTCTCTGGCTTTACATCCCGGTGGATGCACTGGAAGAAGAAGAAAAAAGCAAGGTTAGAAGTACTTAACCTGTCCCTCAGATAAATTCAGCCACATCCCCTCGTGTGCTGTGGCAGGCAGTTGTTCCTGCTGAAAGGGAAGATGGAAGAATTTCTGAGTGACCTGTCCATAGCCCACCTTTGGGGAGAGTCACTGTGCAGCTCCCAGCTTCAGCTCTGGATCCCCTGCACAACACAGTCAGCTCCCTGAGCCCCCTGGGAAGTTCCTGCCCAATGATTTTGCTGACAAAGCTCAGCAAGGGCTCTGCTCAGCACAGGTGAGACACATCCAGAGCTGTGTCCAGCTTTGGGACCCTCCACAGAGGGAAGATGTGACTCCAGTGAAGGGACACTGAAATTTAAGGGACTGGGGTGTCTGATATCCAAGGAGAGGATGAGGGAGCTGGGACCATCAAGGCTCCAGGTGAAACTCTTTAATGTGTATTAAATACCTGATGGGAAGGGAGACTGAGCCAGGCTGGTCTTGGTGGTGCAGTGAAAGGACAGACCATGGGCACAAACTGAACACTCAAGAAATTCCAAATTCCATCTAAACCTAACCAATTTAGTTTATATTTTATTTTTTATTTTTATTTTATTTTTTTTAGATACTGAAATCCTGCCTGGAAAGGTTTCTGAACAGCCTGTTCTAGCTGATCCATCTTGACTGGAAGGGCTGGATAAGATCTCCAGAGGTCCCTTCCAACATCAGCAATTCTGTGATTCTTTGGAGGTGAGCTTGTCCTTCACAACAACTGAATTTGGGCTTGGCAAAGAATTTCTGCTGATCAAACTAACAAAGACCTTTATTTCTTTTGCTCTGCTCAACTCACTGGGATCTCACTCATATTGTCCCTCTCCCATCATCACTTCAGAGCAAACACCTTGCACTTGCCAAGCTGCTGGTAAATTATTGTGTCTCCTCTGGAGGACTGAAATGCTGCTTATTAAACCACTGTCACAGAGTTCCAAAAAGGGCAGCTGCATAAAACTGTGATCACAGGTAATCAGCAGGTCAGGCTGCAGCATCTCATTGTTCCCTCTGCTCTCAAACTCCATTAAATCTTCCAGATTGAGCAAGGAAACATAAAAAAGGCACAAACCAACAAATCTTGGAAGCAGGAGAGACCTGTGGCCAAGTTCCTGTGGCTCAACTGGACATAATTCTCTCAGCAAAGACAAAACACCCATTCCAGGGCCATCTCCTGCCCCACTCTTAAATCTCAAATGTTGGCAGATGAACAAAACCAAAGACAATTAGAGCCAAGTTTGCCTAAAGACCTTCTCCAAAAGGCTCATTCTCCTTCCCTGCTTCTTAAAATGTTCCCACTGAAGTATCTGTCAAGCGCACAATTCATATCTCCAGAGAGCAGAGGAGGGAGTAAAGTGGGTTTACTGTCTCTAAGTTTTGAAATATTTTCACTGGTGCCATGATTCAACCCCATGGCAGTGAACTGAAGGAGTTTCTGTGAAATCAGCAGCAGTTTGCCCAGGTCCCAGTTGATGAGCTGGTAAGGCAGGTTCCTGAAGGTCAGCAGTAGTGCAGGGTACAGGGAATCACACAAAGATCATTCCCATTCTCCTGGGAGCTTCTCCAAGGTCATTAGAGCAAATCATTACCCGACAGCCAAGCCCAGGGGCCTGTGTGACAGTGAAGGCAGCTGGTGTGGGTGTACACCAGTATTTCAGATGTGTTTCCTGTTGAAAACAGGAGATTCCATCTGACCCCATCCCATGAAATCATGGGAAAGCATGCAGCCATTTTCCTGGAATCAGGAAAATGCCAACAGAGCCCCCCTCTCTCCTCCAAGGCCATGTTCCAGCAATCATTAGTGCAGGCCAGGGGACTCACATTGTGTTTGTGGCAGAAGTTTACAGCCTGCAGGGTCTGCCAGGTTATGCTCTTCACCAGGTACTCTGGCACCCTGTTGGAAAAAAAAACCCAGAGTTTTATTTTGGCCATTAATAATAAATTTAGTGTTTTGGGGAAAATGAGTGCTGACATTGTCCAGGGATCTCTGAGCAAAACCATCAGGGATGTCAGGAAGCACTTCCAAAGCCAGTCAGTGCAACAAGACACGAGGATTTATGTCTGGTACCAGTCACAGCCAGCATGGGCTGCCACTGTGACCACACAGCCAAGTGTGTGGGTCCATATCAGATCCCATCCTACAATTCCTGGCAATGCTGAAATGCCAACAGCAATTTCTGCCTCAGCAACTCTCAGGGCTGGAGCTGCTGGAGTATCCATGGTATAACTACATGGAATGTTACTGTGGCACTGATTATCCAGAGTGGAGAGGTGAAAAATGGGCCAGAAAAGGGTGCTCAAACAAAAGAAATAAAGCTCTGCTTTGGTTTGGATCCCCCTCCTTCCCTCCCACAGCTGGCAAACACTCCCCAGCCTCCTCTCCTTTCTTTCAGTTACTGGGCAACAGTTCTTGAAGTTCCTTTGCTGTCTGTTGAAGGCTCATCAACAACCCCAGGAAAGGCAGAAGTGACAATCTTGGCATTTTCCAACTCAAACACAATTTTATTTCACATGTTTAATGCTGAAAAGCTTCTGATTCATAATAAAGAAAAAAACTACCCAAAAATAAACCAAAGCAACACAAGCCTGAGTTTTTCTTTCAAGTTTGGCTTTCACTTTCAGTGGGTCAGTGATACTCTGCTGACGCTGTGAGATTCCTTCCAGAAACATCCCAGAATGATGGGAGTGCTGTTCTGACAGCTTGAAAAGGGGATAGAATTGGTCAAATGAGCTGGAATCAGCAGGTGCCCACCCATCTTAACCTGACCACAAAAGACTTGACCATCTGCCCTAGCAGAGCTGAAAAGCAAAGCATGCAGCTAGCTGATCCATGTTCCTTCACACTGGGGTTGTTCTGATGAACAGTCAGCAAATGGGAAGCATTTCCTTCAAAAAGAGTTATCCATCCCCTCTTCAGATTCCAGGTGAACGGGTTCCCAGTGGGGTGGCAGCTGCTGGCAGCTCACAAAGCCACCAGCGATCAGCCTGCTCCGTTCTCCTGGTGCTCCTCAGCAGGGAGGAAGGGAGTAAATAACAAGCTCTTGTTTGCTCAACCCCCCATCAGTCTCCTGCAGGCAATTCACAGCCCCAGGCCTGTGCAATGATTTATGGAGTGTTGCTTAGCATTTCCACAGCACCAAGGCACCGTGGATAATTAGGGACAGCAGGAGTGGCGTTTACAAGGTGTGGACAGAACAAACCCTGTGTGGAGCTCACACTTGGTGTGAGCACCTGTTTGAAGAGAAGTTTTGCAGAAGAGGTGCAGGCACAGCTCTTAGGAATTACTCCTCACTCTGGAGGGCTGAAAGTGCTCAAAAGTGTAGATGTGGCACTTGGGACACGGTTTAGTGGTGAACACAGCAGGGCTGCATTAACAGTTGGACTCGATGCTCTCAGAAGGCTTTTCCAACCTAAATGATCCTACAAGTCCCTGGTTCTGTATTTGGGTTCCCCTGCCCCAGTGCTCACAGTGATGGGAGCAGAGGAAGCAGCAGGACACAAGCTGCTCCCAAGTCCTGGATTTGCTGCTCCCCCTCCAGCCAGAGCTCTCCCAAATTCTCGGCTCGGCGCTCCCGTCTCCGTGGTGAGCGGGGCCGTGCGGGAGGGAACACGGCTCCTGCGCCGCTCTTGTGCCACACCACAGCAACAGAGACAGTCCTGGGCACTGGGCTCAGAAACCTCTCCCGTAATTAATGGAATTCCTCTGAAAAGCCACAGGGCAGCAGCGCTGTGCTGGGAGCTGCCAGGGCACAGGGGCCACTCACCCGCGGGGATGCTTGTCCAGCTCGTGCAGCACCGTGTGCTCGCAGTATTCCAACACCAAGTGCAGCCGCCGCTTCCTCCTGAACACCTCCAGCAGGTTCACCAGGTTGGGGTGCTTGAGTTGCTGCAACACACAGGGGATGGGGTGGTCAGCAGCTGCACAGGGTGAAGCTGTGGGGGACAGACTTTTCCTGCAGGGTCACAATTCCTTAAGCTCAACCCTTTCTACAAGCACAGCTCAGCTACAGCTCAACCTCTGGGTACTTATTTTGGGAGCTGACCTAAAAGGGTGGACAACAAGCTCATCCCAGTGCTCCATCTAACCCTGCCCTCTGGCAGTGGGAAGCCATTCCCCCTTGTCCTTGGATATTGGGAATGGGGAATTCCTGGCTGGGAGGGTGAAGAAACCCTGGCACAGGGTGCCCAGAGGCTGCCCCTGGATCCCTGGAAGTGTCTGAGGCCAGGCTGGATGGGGCTTGGAGCCAACTAAGATAGTGAAAGGTGCCCCTGCCCATGGCAGGGGGTGGAATGGGATGCTCTTTGGAATCCCAAACCATTCTGGGATTCTATGGTTTCAAGACTCTGCGAACTCCCACTCCACATCGCTTGGCTCCTGGCCACAAAAATCCCTTTGTCTGCAAGGTGTTTACTGGGCAGAAAAATTATTTATCAGACCCATCATTTTCTAATGATGAAACACAATCTCACTCCATCTCTGACAAACAGGAGTTACCTAAGCCAGGAATTGCCTCAACAAACAAACAAAGAAACAAACAAACAAACAAACAGTTACTATTTGCAGAGAAAAAGCTGAAAAGAGTCAAGCAGGTCTGCACTTGTTAAAGTCAACAGTAACTCCAGCACAGATCCTGCTGTGTCTGGCTGCTGTGGCTTTGGATCCTTAAGGATGATGCAGTTCCCAGCTGCATTACAAAGGACTTCTGCCATGATTATTTTCCTTTTCACATGTTTAATATCACTTAAATCTTAATGTAAATCTAGCATTGTTTACTGAAATAATATAGCTACATGTCCTGTGTTTACTTTGTATAGGAGAAAAATCTAGGCTGCTTCTCCCCAAAATCTAACTGAAAAATATTTACTCTTTTTCCTAGATGATTGTTTTCCTAGGATAGCAGGTGTACAAATCATGAGCACCCAGGAAAAAGTGCAAAGAGGACACTTCCCATTCCTAGGAACAGGAAGCTGAGGGTACTGTGTGCCATCACCCAGCAGCAAGTTTGTAACAAAGAAAAGGAATTTTTTTTTTTTTTCACACAACGCATTCCTAAAGCCTCAGGAAACTATGGAGACCAGATGAACACACAAGTTCCTAAGACATGGGACAGAGTCTGCAGATGCATGAAGCAACAGGCACAGCCTTTGGCTGCAGAATCCTTGCCCAGAAACTGGGAGTGTGAAAGGAAACCTTACCCGATACTCTGCCCCTTTCTCCCAGGTCTCTCCTCATTTCTGCATGCTGGATAGACCTGCAGATGCTCCCGTGCTTTTATTTCCTCGGGAAAATAAAGCCAGAGGCTGAAGGAGTAACCCATTTCTGTGTGAGGATGAGCTCTCACAAAGAGGTCAGGAAAGGATCAGCAAAGACAAGGCTCACTCTGGTGCTGGTTCTGCTGATGTTTCCATGTGGAATTGCCGACCCTGCACAGCCCCTGGCATTCAATCCTCAGCTGGATCCTGCACAACCAGGGGCTCAGAAAGGGCATTTTAAGGAGAAGCTGGGGCAGATTTATCAACTGTGGAGCAGAGAGAGCTGTGTCCCCTGGCTGTCCCCCTCCTCATGCTGTCTAGCCTCACTCTTTGCCCACGTGTTTCACTCTGGCTCCAGCTGTTCTGGGGAATCTCCTGGACACAGAGGGGTGTGTGACATGCACCAAGGGCAGAGCTGTGCCCACACTGGCCAGGACATCGCTGACTCCATGGGGAATGAGCCTGGGTCAATCCCTCTGTTCAGGGCACACTGTGACTGCGCTGATGCTGCTCCTGCAGAAGTCGCAGGCACCTGGCTCATGGCTGTGTCTCAGCTCCCACCTGCTCCTGCCTGGGCTGGGCAGGATCACCCAGCACCGCCATCCCTGGACAAGCGGCTCGGACATTCCCTGGCACCGGCTTTCTGCCAGAGGAACTGACTGACCTGAGCACTTCATGGTGCTTCTTCACACCCGTCTCTTTGCTTCCCCCCTCACGACACTCCCATCACCTCACAGATGCCCTCATGCCCTGTCCCTTCATGGCCGCCCTCACACCCCGGCCCCTCACGACGCCCCGGCCCCTCAAGACACTCCATCCCCTCACTGCTGTCTTCACACCTTGTAGCCTCACGATGTCCCTTCATGGATGTCCTCACACCCTGTCCCCTCACGCCCTGTCCCCTCACGCCCGTCCCCGGCCGCTCGCTCAGGGCTCGCCGCTCCCCGCCGGGGGTCGCCATGGCGGGCACAGCCCGCGCGGGCAGCGGGGTCCGTCCCGCCGCCGCCGCCCACCTTGAGCATACGGATCTCCCTCAGGGCGATCTTCCGGATCACCGGATCCTCCTCGGACTCCAGGAACCTCTTGATGGCCACAATCTGACCCGTGTCCTTGTTGCGGCACTTGAAGACGACTCCGTAGGAGCCCTCCCCGACCTTGCCCAGCTTCTCGTAGCGCTCCATGGCCGGGTGGCCCCGCCGCGCTCCGCCGCCGCCTCAGCGCGGAGCCGGGGCGGGCCCCGGGCGGGGGAGTCTCCCCGGTGGGGACGGCCCCAAGAACCGCCCCGGGGACACCGCCACGGCCGGATCGGTCCCCAGGGAGAAGGGAGGGGGAGCGGGGGATCCCCATGGCAGCCGCTGGGGCCACACGCTGACTCCGCGCCTGACGATCTGCCCGGGCTTCGTGGAGCCACAGAACCACTCATGGATTGGGCTGGAAGGGAGCTTAAAGAGCATTCAGCTCCAACCCCCTTGCCATGATCATGCTGTCTTTGCCCCTCTCCGCCTTTCCAGAGGATCGCTAGGTTTGACTCCGTTTTCCGGCGAGGTTGGAAGAGGACAAGGACCCTTCCACAGGGTCTGCCAGCCTCAAGCAGCGCCCGCACTTCCCTCTGGCACCCGGAGGTTTTCCTGGAACATCTTCCCACTGTTCCATTATCTCAGGTCTCTGTCACTGAATGAGCTCCTGCCAGCAGCCAGACCCTTCCTTCGGTCCAGCTTTTCCATCCCTGCCCCTCCTGTGCACCCATCTGGGTCCTTGGCTCCTCATCCCTCTCCTCATCCCCTGACCAAGGTGGCCTTTTGTGAGGGTAATTGCTTTCAATATTAGATCTGAATATAAATGTGGGCACCTCACTCCATCTCCTGCCTCCTCCCTCCCCAGTCCTTGCCGGAGGTGCTTCCCAGCTCAGAACAAAGATCCACTAATTCTTTTTCTTCCCAAGCCATTCATCAGGGATGCGCAGTCCTCACATTTCAGCTTCCGAGACTGACCCCCATAGATAACAATCTCCTGCAGAGGAGGAATATTGCTGTATATTTATTTATAAATATAACTGCCAGTAACTGGCAGTTCTTGGTGTTATCCAAAGGCACATACATTATTTTTTTCAACCTCTTTTTCCCTCTACCTCAGCAGATCCCTGAAGATCTGGGATACAGCACCTGAAGCAACCAAAGTGTGAGGACAAGATGTGAACTGCTCTAGATCCTGCCAAGGCTGAGCCGAGTGTTTTCCTACTCAAAGCAGCCCTTTGAAACCCACCAGCCCCAGCTCTGTTCCCAGGTAAAACTCCAGCCTCTGCTTTTCCAGCCAAACATCTCCTGAGTGGCTCCTTGGTGTTTGTTCCCAGGTGACTGGCAGCAGGGCTGGGTCAGGAATAATTTGTCCCTGCTAGTCTGATTTCTCCCTCCTGTGCTGCCCCTGGGAGCTGCTGCTGACTCCCAGCAGTCTGGAGGATGGAGAACAGCGGCGCCAGGCCCTTCCCACAGCAGCCACAAAACCTGGAGAGCGGCATGATTCTCCCGAGATCCCTCTGACAAGGTATTGTTCCCAGCAAGTCACCACACCACAGATCAAATAAAGCAGTTTATTTGGCATAGACTGAACTGCAACAGAAATTCCCGTGGAACAAAGCCTGGTTATACAAACTGAACGAGTGCAGTTATGAGTCTCAGTTACACCTAACGACTAAACAAGGTAAAAAAAAAACACATTTCAGAGTCTCCCAGTCTTGTCCTTTCCATCCAGAGACACCGTGGCTCCCTGATGTGTTGTACCTTTCTTTTTTAAAGAGATGTCAGCACAATTCCAGCTGTAGTTTTCACTTGCAAGGAACTTGGTTAGGAAATCCAAAGAGATTAATCTACAGACTGCTCTTCCCATGCTGTTTGTACTTCCAAGAGCTCTGGGAGCCTGTTTTAAGGCTTTCAAGTCGTGCATCCAATAATTAAAATTTTGATAAATATTGAGCAAGGAAGGAGGGGCTGAGCAAGCTTTTGCTTCATCACCCCCAAGCTCCCCCTGTTAGGCTTTCTCAAGCCTGGTTTAAATTCCACAAAAACAAAGATACAGGCAATACCAGACTAAATTCAACAGTCAAACACAAATTATACTGGTCAGAGTCACCGAGGCTGGCTGGGTTGACTATGGAACACACAGATCTGCTCTGTGGTACGGAAGAAAAGTGAGGTTTTACACTAGGAAACAGCATCTTGCAGATCATGCCAAAAAAATGCCACTGTCTATGAAACCAGCAGAAAGCATTTCACAACATGCCATTAGAAATGCTTCAACAGCTAAAAAAGGTTTGCTTCAACGAGGATTTTCCTAAGTTTATTTTTTATGATCCAGCAAAACACCAGCCATTCGTGTCAAAGACAAAATACTTTCAGCTCGTTATTTCTGCATGACAGTGTCATGACCTAAGAGTTATTTACTCCAGTTATTCCCCATAAATATTCTGATTTTATTTACAGGTTTCTCTAGTCTTTTAGAGATCTCCTTTAAGTGTTTTTAAAGATGAAGCTGAAATTACTTTCTGTAGTGAATGAGGTAAATTAAAAAGTGTTTGCTCTACAATATCTACAACTGGCACTTCACTTCACCTTAATTTTTGTTTTAAAGACCAGGAATGGCACCATTTGAGGTGGAGAAGTAATTTCAATACTAGAGAACTCTATTAAAAGACAAAAATCACACATCCTGCTTTTAATACTGCTGATCCAATTCCAGCTGACCACCCTTAAAGCACATTTTTCATGCTCTGTGGGGTGATTTGTAAATTTTATCTGTACACTTACTAATTATTAAGCTTTGACACAGTGTCAGAACTGAAAAGCTTGACTTGATTTGGATATAAAGTCAGTAAGAATTAGTTTGGAATGACAGTGGCTAAAATGCTGTGCAGGGTTGTTTTCCCTCTGGACCTTCCCAACTTGCAGCTGTCCTGAGTAAGGAGCCGTCCCTGAGCCATCACGTGGGCCCAGGCAATTCCCTCCGTGTTAAATTATGGATCACGGAGCCAACACAGCACCAAAGCACTCCCAGCTCTCACACACCTTTCCTGCTCTGCTCAAATGACCTGGGAATTCCAGCCTCTCCTTCCTAGGCAGCAGATCTCAGGAGCTGAACAGGCATTTAATTAAAAAAATAAACCCCTTCAATTCCAATGTTTCTGAGCTGCTACTGCACCTGCCCGAGGAGTGTTCACATCAAAGCCAGCAGGGTAATGTGAGGTAGTAAAACCAGATGCTCTCCTGGAGTCAGTCTATATTTAATGGTACCTCAAGAATTTTAATTAATGAGGAAGACAAAAGGAACCGATGGGACTCTTCAATGGAGAAAGAGAAAGGAAAAAATAAAATGCAGGTGATGAAAGCTTGGATACAGAATACTGGTTCTTATCATGTTTATTTATACTCCCAGCTGGGGCAGCAGCCATTCCCAAAGCTCAGCAGCTGGAATGCTGCTCAGGCTCAGCTGTGGCTCCAGGCTCCCCTCTGGAATAGCATAAATAAACCACACGTCGTGGGCAGTCGGATACATGATACTTTCATTCATTAAGGATGATGACCTGCTACAATTTCCACTTCATGTCACAAGGCTTATCCCTAATTTATGAAAATAAAGCATATATGTTTTGTACATTTTTATATATATATATATGTATAAATATATATATAAAAAATACACACTGCCAGGCAACTTCACACTCACACACACACACATGGATATTGTACAAAGCCACCCAGGAGCAACAAGTCTGATATCAATATTCTACTTTGTGTACACACACCCTACGTCTAGGAAGTAAGAAAATCCCTTTTATGGCAATTCTGCAGGCAGAAAAATCAGTACAAAATACTTTGTTGTACAAAACGGCTTTTTTTTTTATACAGGATCACCCAACACGGTAACACACCCCTCAGTAATGCACTACATCCCTACAAGGAAAAAAAAGAATAATCAAATCTTTATACAATTGTAAAAAAAAAAAAAAGTAAGCTGCTCTGCAACCTTCCTTTGCTAAAAGTTAGACATTACCCCATCCTAGCAGCAGATTAATAAATAAGGATTAAATAATCTATTATACAAAGCCATACCCAATGGCAGATTTAAAACCAAAAAGCTTTGCAGATACTTTCACTTCCTACACAAATCTTTGTTTTATTAAGAATAAGACTCAGTATAAAACAGGGCAACAGACAGCACTAGATCTGTATCTACAGAATAAAAGGAAAATCCAAGGGAAGGGAATATTTAACAGTTTATGGCACCTTTACTGCAGAACATGTTTCAAGGCTCTGTTTCCCTAGAACTAATGAGTAAAGGGCTCTTTATCTCAGCTTTTATTAAGCAAACTCGATATAACCAACCACACAGTGGCAAGAGACAGAACCAGCTGTTCCCAGCTGCAAAAATGGATTGATTCCCACCCTAAAAACCAACACAATTCCATTGCCAAGACAAGAAAGGGCAAGTCCCGGTTTCCTGGCGCTCCTGGGTCCCTCTGCTGTTTGGTGGGTGAGTGCTGCTCAGTAACTGTTTTCATGTCCAGCCAGGATGTACAGGTTGCTGTGAGCTGTGGGGTTTTCTGTGGGCCTGCTCTCCAGCACAACCACTCTGCAACCAAACACAAATGGGATTCACAGTCAGGGGTAAAAACCAGCTCTTGGTGTAATTCTTGAGGAGGAAACTCAGGGGTTTCTACAGATTGGAGATCGAGGTTCCCCCAAATATCCTGGGTGTTTCATTCTTTAACCAGTTCCCTCATTTTCCAGCATCACTTCTGATAAAAACACTGAAGGACAAGATACAGTGGAAGGGTTGGAATTGGATGATTTTTAAGGTCCCTTCCGACCCAATCTGTAATTCCATGATCCCACCATCTGCAGCCCAAATGTTTATCCCTCCTACATCTGACAAGCAACCTCAACAATTCTCCTCCCTGCTAAATATTTATCACCTCATGGGCTCACAGGGATCACCATCTCTGCCTTTGTCCTGCTGGATCATGTTCCTGTGGGCCACTCTGCAAAACTGTTCTCTCCCTGTCTTGGCACACTGACCACTGCTGGGCCTTGACCTCCCCTCTCCCTCCCAAATGCTGAGCATTTCTCTGCACCACTTCCTCTTGTTTTTAGGATTAAACTTGTCTCTGCCTTTTGTTTTCCTCAAAGAG